GCAGAACCTGCCGCCACCATACTGCCTACCGGCCACGTATCCGCTAAAAAGCGACAATACCATGATGCTCTGACATTTGTCTCGGTGTTGCTATAAGCCATCAGCCACTTGTCGCCTAATGCATTCGCACCATTGCATTATAACGCACTATTGCATTCCCCGTTTCAAGAGCATGTGTAGCATGCCCCACACACTGGGCCTGCTGTAAGCCCACTGTGTGCCCCTACATCTATTATCAAATACTTAGTGAAACGATGAAAGGAGCTGAACATGTTGAAAACTATGATGGTCATATTCAAACTACATACCCGTATCTTTGTCATATTTCATTCGGTCTTATGCGCTCACTGCAGTTCGTCTAACGTGATAACAGCGATCGGCTGCATTGGCCGATCATCTTATCGTTCGCGCCATTTTCATTCGCGCCAACCTGCCTATCACCAAGCGCGTGCGAACAGTCTGGCGCGTGAATGAAGATGTTCTCGTTGTTCGGACGGGAGAAGTTTTGCGAGCATCGGAATCTTTCGGCGCCAGCCCATGGACAGAGCACAACTTGTTGCGACAGACTTTGTCTTTTGGGACGGGGTCAGCGTGAGGTCAAGCTAGGAGCAGGCAGTTATGGAAAGAGGCAAGCGTTGTTCTTTTTTCCTGTTTTGCCTGCTATGGCTTTAGTTGTTAGCAAAATGAGGAATATCGTTTCACGAAAAATCGTTGCCGATACCCAACGCAGCAATAAAATAACGTTTAACCCTCACCATGATAGGTGGTGATTATGGCACTTGTTTTGACCCCAAAACGTATTCCTAAATTTTCTGGTTTTGGAGCAGCGGTAGTTTGTGATGAGCACTCGACGGCGATCTATGGCTGGCTCAGGCGGCGGGCGGCAGGACAATTGCATTACAGAATATCTTCAGACTTGAAGACACGCCAATTTAAGGTTTATGTCATTGCAAGGCTTGTTCTAGCAAACATAAAGAAAAGCTACAAAGTGCGGTTTTCTGTAAAATTCGACCTTTGACCCGTCAACAACGAAAAAATTAGTACCAATCGTGAGATCGTGAGATCGTGTTCAGAAAAATATACTGCTATTCTCGGCAAGCTCTATCTTTAGAAGCTTGCAAACGCCGGGGGAGGGTTGCATCAACCCCCCTCTCCCCTATCAGCTCGAGTTATGCAAAACGGCGGGTCAGGGCGATGGTTAAGACATACAGCGAGCTTACTTAAACATACGTGCAAGGCACATGCAGAAGGGATGCTACTATCAGCCACACATTTCCTGAGCCTAATCACATAACCGAGCGTGAGCACATAAATCCACACTTTTGCACTTCGATCTGTGGGTGCCAAAGCTCTCCCTTTATGTCACTCTGGTCATAATTCGTCCGGATACTCCGGAGGCTGGGCAATCTTCACAAGAAACAGAACATTGCACGATATGCTGTCATTTTCACCGAAAGAGTCATCTAACTAACTTGTCACCGTCAATCACGAAAATATATATGATGCATGTGAGCATTTGGCGTGTCAGTGTTTTTGAGACATAAGTATATTTGAAGGTGTATTCGCATCGTCCTGCCATAAGAATGCCGTCAGTGAAGGGAGACACGCACTGAGGCTAATTTTCGACAACGAATCCGATCGACTTGACCTATAATGACCCTTTGCCTTGGTCGATTCTGGACCGCTACCTGGCGCGAAATCTGGGGCATGTCTTAACCGCATGTCCCGACTGAGCGGCCAGAGGGGGTCCACGAGCTTACCAAGCGGGCTCCTTGGACCGCTAGACGCTGCTACGGTATTGTCCGAATTTGTATTTGGAAATATTTTCGCTCTTCTCATTACTACACTATTACTACACATGATACCTTGGTCCCCTCTCTGACGCCGAAGGCCCTCTGCCCAGGATGGTTGGCCATGGATCAACGTGGGACCACTCACTGTTTCAAAAAGGTCCCAAGAGCAGCGGGTTTAATAAATAGCACTGGGATCCCAGCTCGACGCATTTGGGCTCCAGAGAAAACGAGCAGAGGGACTCCGTCCGGTGCTGGTTCTTTGCTGACACGAGGCTCTTCCATTAAGGCGCCCGTCAAGGGGGGGGGGGGGGCGGCTCCGGTCCAGCACGAGCGAGATCCCGTGATGTCCGACACGTCCGGCTGTCCGGTCCGCCGGGATGTGTACCGCGGCGAACCGAATGAAACCTAGTCAGTGGCCTCGGGCTGTGACATGAAGATGGCGGCGTGCCCAACTGAGCTGGCAGTGTTTCGACCGCGGACGGCTGACCCGCGGACAGGCCTCGCACGCGTGTGGCGGGGTCCTGTTCTCGGTAGGGGGACGGCACACGCGTGAATGCGTTCTTTTTTTGGCGGCCGGGCTGCCTTGTCCTCCGGCCCGCCGCGGGCGTGGCTGCCGGCCGGACCGTCGAGCTGGGCAGCCTCTGGGCTGGCCTGTGTGTCCGCCTCTATTACGCATTTATCAGGCATTAGGTACGTGCGATGCAGTAGTGGTTTTGCCAGGACTCCATCCCAGGATAGCAAAGTCCAGAGATGAGCATCCTGACCACTAACCACCATGCCACCATCGCCCCTCTGCGGCGCGAACTGCACCCGTCTCGATCAACTCCAGACTGGTGTTGCTGGACCCCAAATTCTGTACTTAGGAGGTTCTGAAGCGTAAAAGGAAGAAAGCGTGTCAAGATTGATGAGGCGGATGGCGAATACAAGCTCACGATTCTCTCAATTCATTCAGCTTATCTATCGCAAACCAGCCCAGTGACATACGCTCGGCTCCGCTGTTCAGATGGTAAATCGACAGCGCTTTTAAGCGCGGCACGTGCGTGTGTTTTGCGTGACGTTTGGCAGGCAGTTGACTACATCCGCAATCAACGTTTGATTTTTTACTTCCTGTTTGCTTTCAATCAGGAGGGCGGTTCCCTACTCAGTTGCAGGGGTTTCACCCCCCGCCGTAACTTGGGTTGCAGCCTGCAGATTTGTGAGAAAGTGAGCTAAATTTCGAAGAGAAATCTATTCGTTGGCATATTATCACAGTACTCTTCGTTGTGTTTTCATCGCTCAGCCCAAAAACTTATTTTGGTAAACCACACTCGTTTAAAGCGTACTTAATCGAAGAAACACATTGTTTGTAGGCTGGACCATTGAACGTGTCTCACCAGGGGGTAGTGTCCGGATTCAGCTGATGAGACAGCCCCCACTCCCTCTCTTTAAGAGGAAAGGCATCTAGAATTCAAAAGAAGTCCCGTTTGCAGGAGCATGTGAAAAATTTGCAATTGGGTAGGGAGAGGAATCGGTCACATAAAATCACTAACAATATAGGTTAACATGCCAGGAGCTGGAGGAGTAGACATCGAATCAGTCAGCCTTACACATCAGTCATTAATTCCTTCAAAAAATGAGAAGCATCACCAACACATAGAGTAACAAACGGAACCAAATACCGCGGAGAATCCTATCCATAGCCCACAATACCAAACAGCAGGCAACCCGACAAGTGCCTTCCACGATTGTCGCGCAGCTACTGCCGAATAACCAGCTATTTCCGATGCCATGAGCCAGGGATCAAAGCTTTGAATTCTTTCCTGCGCCTGCTGCCAGGGGCGTGCTGACGCGGCAACGTTTGTGCGCTCAAATAAAACGTCGTTCATATCCATGCACGGTGGTTTAACTGGGCAGCACTGTACGGTATGACGTCACTCGTCGGCTGAGGCCGGCGAAATCGGCTCCGGTAGACCTCTATCGAGCAATATCCGAACCATTAGGTGAAGGGCTGCGAGAAAGTGGGACAGTGTCCCAGACCGTGGATCTCACGCACGCTGGTCTTTATGAACACTAGACTTTATGAACACTAGACTTTATGAACACTGGACTTTAAGATTCTCCTCTGTCCAGGGGGTTTGGACGTTTTCTGGACCTTATGAACACTGAATGCTGCGATTCTGGACTTTTTGACCACTGGACTTTATGAACTCTGGACGTTTCAACACGCATTCGTCCGGGCAGGTCAGCAGAAAGAGGCCCGAGAAGAATGAAGGGTCCTATGCAAATGAGATCAAAGGGAAATGGCCCGAGAGCTATGTAAAACGATCCATGAGCGTGGAGTGCCTCGGTGCGTTAATTTGTACTGACCCAGCAAGAGCTCAGGGCTCTGCGATTAAGTGGGAATAACCCGAAACCATTGTAAGCAGCCCCTGAGCAACCGAATGTGCCAAGACAGGGCAACGTATGGGGAGCTCAGCAATAACGTATATAGTCTTTCGGGCACATAGACAGAATCCGTGGAGGACTCCTTAACGATCAAGAGTGCCCAGGTATGTAAGCAAATAGGGTCTCGACAGCAGCACAAGGCCTACCAAGCCAATGCATGTAAATTAAGGGCAACATGGAAGGTTCCTTAGTGGTCGGGCTGCCCCCGCAAGTGACATATAAGCCACACGGCAACAGCTAGGACCTCTGGGAGCTTCAAAGGCTCTCCCAACCACCACCCTCTCAATCAGCGAAGATTCATTTTTGCCTATTCATAAGCGCTTCATTTACGCGTGCGACTGTTGGTACTCGCTTGGAGGCACAAAGCCATCCAACTCTGTCGCGTGTTGTTAGAAAAAAAAAATCGGCGGTTGACGGGAGCCATAACCGCTCATTCGGTCGGTTATAGCCGCTTCAGAGCCCATGTGTCCCTTCTGCGACCAAGGAGAGGGCATTGCCCTGTGACCCGTCCGTGGATCCGCCCATGGACATCATCCATTTTTCTCTAAATTTACCAAGTCTTGTTTTTACTTCGTTGGTTCCCCTCTGCGGGGAAGGATTCCATGGTTTGGAAGCAATTTTTGACTAATATGCACCGTATTTGTCTACAAAAGTATCGGCAAGTATACCCTAATTTTGATGCATAAGGAGACATATGACGTCATGTAAAGAGCAAACTCTCTTTGATTCGTCTAAAACCAGTATTAGCCGGTCGATGAGGTCATCAACAACAAACTCCAACGAAAGTAAACACGAACCTCACCGTCGATAACCGCTGTTATTTTAGGGCGTGGAGTCGTCAAGAAACGCTCAGGGGTAGCGTGGGAGGGGCGGTGGCGTGCGGCGGTTTTGTGGTCTGCCGGGCAGGCTTCGCACCTAACCCTGCTGCTGTTGCCATCATAAATTCGTTTCACCAGCCCTGATCGGTGAATGCCACTGACACTCGTGGCTTCCAAGACTGCATTTGCTGTTTTGCAACCGTCGGGTACCCACCTTCCTTGAGAATGACCATCAAAATTTACATTTCTGGGCTCTCCGGTAATTATGAGGTAAGTTGTGGTGTTTTTGCTGCAGTTTTCTCATTTGTAACTGATGCCTATGGCCTGCTGTGGTCTGGCCGTGTAGTGGATATGCTAGCAGCTAAATCATTGCTTTTTTGTTGGTGTGGCCTGCAGTGTGGTGCTTTCAATTGGATTTAATTAGTGCTCACAATTTTAAACTTAAAAAAGGTATTACTTGGGTGCAGATTACAGAAATGCACATAAGATCATGCATGTCCAGCCTAGTGATGTGTCAATGGGTCCCTAATTTTATTGTGGATTTGACAGTCCCAGGTGTGGTGCATGGTTAGCACTGCTCGCAGCAAATGGAAAGCCAATAATTTAAGGAACGTCAGTGTTTTGATGCTGTTTTAGTGCTTCTAGCAATTGACTGCGCTGCTATGTTCAAGCAATGATTTTAGAAACCAGGCAACATTCATCATGAGTGTTGTTCAGCACAAACTTTCTCTACATTCACAACATGATCTAGCTTACATAAGATCACAGACCTGTTGACAAGACACTTGGGGCAGGTCTGATCCTGGCCTAGCCACCATATTGGGCAGGCAGTTTTTCTGCATGGGATGGAGGCTAATGATTTAATGACCAGGAAGACTATGGGATTGGGGGTGGTGTGGAAAATTGCTCTAACAAATTGATTTTAACCTGTTGGATGATAGTTCTCTGCTGCTATGCTTGAGATAGGTGAGAGTCATGCTGAATTTCCCAATGCACCATTTTGCATTATCATCCTACATTTGTATCCTTCCCATTGTTAGGTTACCAAAGGCATGGTATTTAAACATGCATTGGACAATTCATACTGCAAACATGTGACAGGTGCAATAGTGAGAACATTCATAGACTATGACAGTGAATGGATAAGTTTTTTCAGAAATGTTGAATATGTATTGGGTGCATAGTGCATATTGTATCACACATATTATATCATACATGTATTGAGTGTATAATTGTAAATTAAGCAGAGACAGAATATGTGGTAAGGATCATGAACACCAGGGTCTGAATCACAGACCAGCTGACTATTGATAGGATGCAGATTTTCTAGAATTGTATCATACTTGCCCTACTTTTTTGGTCAATTTGCTATGTTAAACCTTGATATCTGCTTGTGAATTGAAAAAGGAGAAAAAAATGTTTGGGATTCAGGGGGTGTTTTTATTTTTTAGAAGAGATTTTCTGTGGTATTATCATCAAACAAATCATTAAGTATTTTACTGCATCCATCTGGGGTTTCAGAGTACATTGTAGGTTTTTGGAGAACTTCACTCCAACTGATAAACCTACATTGCAGAAATTTTTGGCAGCAGATTTGACAACATAATTGCTTCTCCAGTCAGGATTCCAACACTCCAACTATGATTTGGTGTTTGTCAAGTTTTTAAATTGTTTTCCAAATTGTTTTCAATAGATGGTTTTCTGAGATTGGACTGAGTCAACACTGAACAGTGCTTGTTGTGTGATCCCTAATCCCCTCTGTCAGTTTGTGAAATTTCAAGTAAGCATTGAAATTTTTGGGAGTGGTTTATGGTGCCTCAGTGATCAGCATGCTCCATCCTGCCCTGTAACTTCACTGGATCTTTGGCGGGCGGTGGCCACCAGCCGCCACCATCCCAGTCCATTGCAGATAACAAGGGCTGGAAGGGACTGGAGCCTACCCTGCTATGGGCAGGTGGACTGGAAAGCAGGTGCTCCAAGTCTAAACAGCTTAGCTATTGGAGCAGAGAGAAGTTATGTGATTCTGATTTATTTTTCTACATCCCTAGTAATGTTTCCAAATTGAATGCCCAGGCTGTGTCATATATTAGTTTGCTGTGAGGTGAGAACCTCATGATGGCAAATTGTACTGATTGCAGGTAGCAAGTGGCAGGTTACATTATCAACATCCAAGCTGGGTTAAACATAACAAATGAGAAAGCTTTGAGGAAGAGATGTCTGATATTCTGTGACCTGGTGTGACATACTGCAGACCAAAGATTACAGTAACATATATTTTATGCAGTGTGATAAACTATGTTGAGTGCTGTCCCACTGTCTTGCCACAAGTTTTTCATTTCTTGTGATGTGGTGGGCAGGGGCTATGCACTCAAGGCATCATTTATTTGCCCCATTGAAATGTCACAAGTCACATGATTGGCTGATATCAGTATAGGATGCAGACTGGCATGGGCCATGTAGCACTATTTTCCCAACTAGGGTAGCACACAAGGATTCTAGACAGAAGTAGTATGAAGTCACAATTTGTATCCTCTGGACTTGGTGTTCCTCAACTGGGGTAACTCATGTGGGTGTTTAGCAGCACCAAGCTGAGGCAGTTTTATGCAAACTATTCAATGATGCTTTTTGCCCTGGCAGCAGCATGTTTACTTTTCAAGAACGTTAGAGCCTGTGAGCTCCGTTGTTCAGCAAAGGTGAGAAAAACGTTCCTCTCGCGAGAGATAAGCCAGCATGGTCTGGAGCTGCAAATTTATGACCTGGCCAACACAGTTGTGGCCCAATGTGTAATGCACAGGTGTCTTGGCGCAGGTGTCTTGTCTTGGCACCTGTGCGTTGCAGGCCAGCAGGTAGTGTGCTTTGGCAGAACATTCCTATTGTTGTTATCCCCAACCCAGAGGTGGTACATACCCTCCAACTGCCAGACTGTTGGCCTGGCAGCCCAGACAGAGTGGTCTCAGGCTCAGGAATCACGGATGTTGGCGATTTTGTACGCGTGTATCTGCCTGCAAAGTTGCATAGGTCCTGCTCGTTGTATGCGATTGTTCCTCGCGCGCCGTATTCTCACGGGCGAACTTCCTAAGCGTCCTGTGATGGCTGTCAACAAGCGACGCGCCTTTTCCCAACCCATCTCCAGTATAACCTGTGGCTCGGACAGCGAACCCAAGGGCGTGCCCCAACGACTTCACAAACTGCCGTCTCGTTTAACGGACGTGACCCCGCGGTGAGCGCAGTGACGATGTGCACCTGACAGACCGCCGTCTCGTTTAACGGACGGGACCCCGTAGTGAGCGCAGTGGCGATGTGCGCCTGACAGACCGCCGTCTCGTTTAACGGACGGGACCCCGTAGTGAGCGCAATGACGCTGTGCGCCTGACAGACCGCCGTCTCCTTAAACGGACGGGACCCCGTAGTGAGCGCAATGACGCTGTGCGCCTGACAGACCGCTGTCTCCTTAAACGGACGGGACCCCGTAGTGAGCGCAATGACGCTGTGCCTGCAGGTGAAGAAGCGGCAGCAGCGGATCCAGACGGTGCTGGATTCCTGCGCCATCCAGTACGAGCTGATCGACATCACGGAGGCGGGCTGTGAGGATGAGCGCAAGTTCATGCAGGAGACGGCCACGGCCAAGGAGGGCGAGCGGAACCCGCTGCCGCCGCAGATCTTCAACGACAAGGACTACTGCGGGGTGAGCCGCGGCCCGCACAGGAGCGGACGCTGCGCGGTTGCGGCCGCCGCGGTGGGGCCTCAGCTGTGATGCCCTAGTTTGTGAGCTGGTAGCACATGAACAGCATTCTTTCATGCGAGCAGAGTGGTTGGGTTGTGTATAAGTCATTGGTAAACGCATACGTGGTGGCATGAATATGGTGGTGAGGGCTTGTGCTAGTGTCAATCATTTGTGCCTTCCAGGACTACGACGGCTTTGACGTAGCGAATGAGACAGATCAGCTGCACCAGTTCCTGAAGCTGAGTGAAGGAGAGGTGAACACGGCTCAGGATATCCTCAGTGCGAACAGGAGGTCATCAAGTAGAGAGGTAACTTTCTGCGCTCGTACTTATATTGTGTGGATTACCAAAGAACACCCTGTTTTGAATTCAATCTGTATTGCGCGAAATAAACGGGATTATTATTTTTTTTCTCGCGAAACAGTTAAAAATTTAAACGCGGTGAAATTATGTGTGTAGCTTGACCCAAGGCATTTCCAACTTCATGTTTATGGTTGCTGAGGCTGAAGATGGCCGATCACATTTTTAAAGAACCATGTAAGACACCTGTGGTGATTTGAGGTGTACCTTTTATTATTCCGTCATCTCTTGGGTTGAGATCTTAATATTTTGAAAGGATTTTATCTAGTATATGTCTCCAGACGATAAAGTTGCTGCTCGCATTAAGGCTTTTCTCAGAAGTCATCGATAATTTTGCATTGTGACGTTGACTCGTGTTTTAGATTATATCAGATCTCATAGTGTAAATTTGTAAGCCGCAGTGGGTTTGATGTGTGCAAATGTGCGATTTCATTAATTCTCAAGCTATGGCATCCAAATATTTTGCTGGGGAGTCATTGAAATATGGATATGTTGCACTGTTTTAGACATTGTATTTGCTGGTATTTTGAGCCCACTTGTTTTTTTCGGATGTCCGGAAAGATATGTTTTCACCTGTCCTTCGGGACGTTCAACTTGGTTGAACAGACAGGCTTGGTGGTTACATGATTTTCGAGCTGTTTATGAATTATGACACACTGTTAGCAAATTTGTAAGTGCTGATACTAAGCTGATTTCTCGCGAGGTACAGCACGAGATTGCAGCTTTGCACATCCATATCTTGGCCTGGCGTATGCTGGGAGCTGGCAGCTAATTGAGAACTATAAGCTCGTGTTTCAGTCACAGAGCTAGAGGCCACGGCCACAAACATTCTCTTTCTTCGGGTCCCTTTTATGCATGCCCACATGATAAATCGTATATGTGTTTCATCTGGTGACCAGCTGCGCGTTTTGGGAAAACATAACTTGATGTGGCAGAAGACAGTTTCATTTCGATAGTTCCTCGTTGTTCGCGTAAGGTATGATCGTCCAGCGACTTTTTAAGATATGCGCCATTGGAATAGTGTCTCGGGCTGATGGCTTTGCTGCGTTCAGCAAACCCCAATGGCGGAGAACGGAATCGACCACGCCGACAATCCTGAGCCTCCCGCGGCTGCCGAGGCCACAGAAGAGGATCACGTAGAGCCCCCCGATCAAGCCCCAGTTGACGATCTGGAGGTGAAGACTGATGTGGAACCGGAAGCGGCCGAGCAGAGGGAGGAAAACGACTCCGCCGTGGATGCGGAGGATGAGGGAGCAAAAGACTCCAAGGTTGACGACTCAAACGAAGGCGCCACCGATGAGAAGGTGGCAACGCCGGAGCCGGAAGCTCCCGAGGAGGAAACGGTCCCTGCCGCGGATGCAAAGGCCGACGTCGAAGACGACAAGGAGGACAAATCTGGGGATGAGGAAAGTGAGGGAGAAGACGATGAGGACGAAAACCCGGATTTAGCGGACCTGAAGGCGGCGGCGCAACGGCTGGTACGTCCGCCCGCGGGCGCGTGAGTGCTGTGACGCCGAATGACTTGTAGTGCAACCAGAGTAGTGCAACCCGCTGACTAACGACGCGGGTGTTACAGGACTTGGCGTGAACATACTACTTGTGCCATATGCATGAGCCGCCGGTGTTTGCTGAGCCGCGCGAGTCTGGCAGCCGCCCGTTTTGAGGTGGCGACTGTCGTCAAGGGACATAAGGAACGGTTCAGTTTCTTGGATACCAACAGTGTGCATGTGGTGTTTAGCATGCTGCTCGTGTCTGGCGATTTTTTACCGCTATCGACGTTCAGTCGACGAGGTCCTAAGACGCGATAATCGCTATATTTTAAGGCTTGCACTCGAGCTCCGATGCCGCTTCTCTCAGGCAGCTTAAAGGCCGCCGGCCATCTTTTTCCTGTCGAATCTCACCTCGTCGTGTTTCCTTGCGGTCCTGAACATGCTTCGCCTAAAATACGCGCTTTTTCCGTAAGGGCTGCTTACTATTATGAATGCATAGCATCACTTGGAACGTGTTGCGTTCCGCTGTTATGTGTGAGTGACGGAATCTCTTAGGTCATTTCGACATGGGAAATGTAACGTTGGAAAAGTAACGGTACGGTACGAAATGCACCAAAAAAGAGATGATTTGCTTGAAGACGTTATAGGTCCCGCGTTTGTCTCTCTGGGGACCAGTGTACGTACGCATCTCAGTTACCGCATGTTTGCAACCATCGCCCCACCGACTACACGTAGCGCGTACTTTTATTACAACTCTCGGGCACGCGCAGCCCGTAGACACAAATGGAGACAGACCACAGGTGCAAATGCCATCCCGTGCAAGATCCCAGGTGCAAATGCCATCTCGTGTGGCGTCCAGTGCCCGTTGTGGTGTGCCCGTCCAGCCCCAGCAGCGGTGTGGCATGCACGCGCGCGTGCCACCGTGACCGGCAGCGGCCCCGCGTCCTTCAGTCTCCGGACAGCGCCGCCGCGGCGGACGGCGCGGCGTCCGCCGCGTCTGCCGCGCCGCCGGCGGAGAGCGAGCCGCGACCGGACACCGGCGACGTGCCCGACGGAGCGCCGGCGGAGGATCGAGCCGATGACGAGGGCTGCGCGGAGGACGAGGCAGCCGCCGACCAGCTGGAGAACAAGGACAGAGCGGCGAAAGATGCTGTGGGGGATAAGGATGCTGAGGCGCCCCAGAAGCAGCGTCTTGGAGACTCCGTCGATGACGCGAAGGATGGTTCCGACAAGCCAGTTGCTGCTGGAGTAGAGGATGACGATGGAGATGCGGCGCTGTCTGACTAAGGCCATCTTCAGGACGGTATGCCAGCGTCGGGCAGTATGTGCGTTGTCGTGTGCTGTGCCTTGGTTTGCGTAAATTGCCTGCGGAGAGTATCTGGCATCCTACTAACAGCCTGTTATAAGCCAGTGTCTGCCCGAAGTCCGGGTTGTTTTAACCCGTGAACGTCGTGAGACTGCATTCGAGTTTTTAATCCTTCACTTAACGGCTATCTTGAATATCTTCACTACCGTGTTTGGACGTCGCTCTGTGGATGATAACTGCTGAGGCGTCGCGGTTGGATTTGCATCACACACTCGACGCTCGCTCGTCTCCAGCGCTGAGCGCTTTGACTGTACTTGGTCTTGCTTAGCTCACTGCACTCGCGTTAAAATGATGTATATTAATATGAACCATGAGTCGCCTGACCTCATGGCCCGCGGTTTGCGACTGATTTACAACCGCTGGATAAAGCTGCATTGGCAGTGTCGAAATCAAATCGTGATGACTATGTCAAAGTGAACGGGCTAATTCCTGTTCCCCAATTTTACTTCCATAAATATTTCTTCGAAGAGGGGCATATTACTTTCTCGCAAAGCCAGGCTCATACTGGACCGCGCACAAGTGCATTTGTCTCCCAGCAGCAAGCATAAGCTCGCACGCATCCTGCTATCTGTCACAGCAAGGCGCGTCGTGGGCGGGCCGCGCTCTCCCCCGACGGCGGCGCGCGTTGCCGGTGCCCACTGTCCCCGAGTTAGCGCCGGACGCGACTGTATGGCGCCTCCGCCCCAGGTCATTTCCGCGCCACCGGCTAACGCGCGCCCGTGCCTTCCAGGTGGGCAACGGAGACAACCAGCAGGAGAACGCCGACAAGGAGGGTGAGTGGTGGGCACGGGGCGGCGGCGGCGCCGGCGCTGATTGGGTTTGGGGCGGGCGGCGCGCCCCGCCGGCCCGTGATGCGGCCGGAGTGGCCGGGCCGGACCGCCGGCGGCGCGCTCAGGCGGCCCGGCCGGGCGCCACTTGCCGACGCCGCACGCGGAGCGGCTGGCGCGTCCCGAAGGCTGTACTTCTGAGTCGGGAGGTCTGGTCCGAGGCGTGTCTGCCGTGTTGGTTTGTCAGTAATGGTGTCCGCTGTGCTCATGTATGTTACGTGATCATATTGAAATAATCCCCGCGCTGATGAAGGGAGAGGGGCAATCAACGCGACTCCCTGACGTTTTATGAGGACATTTCTCCAGCGTGTCGTGCAATGGCGCCCAAATTTTCTGCATCCCGTGGGACATTTCTTACGTGGGATTTGACACCAAAAATGTGTTCCAAGCTTTGATGGTTTCCGACCACCACCGATTTTTAAAGAACACTACACGGCGGTCCGCGAGCGGCGCGCGGCAGCCGACAAATCCGCCGACCGCGCGGCGGGCCGGCACTCATTAGCAGAGCCCTGCGTAATAAATACATGCTAAAACACACAGAACTACATGTTGATGCGCATAGAATGGAACAAGGAGCATGTCTCTGTAAGTTTCATGTTTTGTGACATGGTTTCATGCATTTTGGAATGTAAAGCTGGATTAGCGCATTTTTGGGAAAATTGACTTATGACCTGATATGAAATTGGGTCTCCAAAGCTGGCTATCAATTGCGAGATTTTCTTGAGACCAGTCTACTGTTGTTTTTCTTTATATCTGCACTCGTATCTTGCTCGACATTCATCAACGAGGTGGCTTTCAGGTTTTGCTAGCTTCCGGTCGTTACACCACTCGCCCACAACACATGACAAAAACGCATTACAACACAACATGTATATATATATATATATGCATATATATATGTATATATATATATATATATATATATATATAACAGGCGATGCTACGAAATATACTATAAAATACGTAACTATGGACTGGGCAATAGAATATGATTATTCAAGATACGATACATTAAAATACAAAACGATCACAAAGGTAACCAGCATAGGTTTAAACTAAGGCGCGTGACCTAAACGTTTGCGTTTTGAAATGCGAAATTCGAATGCTATCACTCGTTTATTTTGTGGCCTCATGTCTGTAAAATGGGTTTACGGAGGTCCTGTTCACCGTAGCCGATAGCAGAATCGTTGTGTTATCGGAGTTTATGTGCAGAGAGCAAACGAACATCGACTGATATCTGCTGAGCGGCGGGACGGAGGCGGTCGCAGCGTTTTTCGCCTCTGATTGACGCCGCCTCTTGCTGGACTCCCGGCCGCCCGGCCGCTGGCACCAGGCTGGCCTGCTTTAGCGTTCAGTGGTGCTGATGCGGCCGCCTTGTCTGCGGGTTCGAACGGTGCCGCACGGGGGACGAGGGCGGCTTTCTTGTTGGATGGTCTTTGTGACGTCACGTGGTCCTTGCGACATTACGTGATGCGGATACAAGAGCTTCATTGTGGGTATGGAGGCTTGGTGAACCAGTGTTTGTGGAGCACGCCACCTCCTGGGCGGGCTGTTTATGTTTCCATCCCTATAATATTTCGGCGATCCCTTGTGCGTCAAATTATTGCATGACAAAGACAACATCGTTGTCTGCGGCAGAGGGTTACACTGGTGTCGTGCAAGCGGAGAAGATGAACGGGTTTCGTCACAAAGACTTTGCTCGGACATGTCATTTGCATAAATAGTGGCACGTTAACAACGTGGACGCAAGGCTTCTCCATATCGCATGTCTGCGTACATTCACACACACACGATGTTGTGCGCCTCGCTTTTGGTGCTTTGCTTGGCACACGCTTTGTGCATATTGGTGACTGCTTGTGCGGCTGCGTTGAACGCTCGCAGTTTGTGTGACGGCGCGGTGGTAACAGAATAGCTTCGGTGTATCGTCACAGACTTTTTCGGCGAGAACCGCCCGTTCCAATGTGCTGGTGTTAGTGACTGCGGAGCCCCCATGTCTGTGGACGAGCGCTGGACCCGTACCATTGCGCGTGTGTGGCTTTGAGTGACCTCTCCGTGCTTACGAACGCTACTTCTGCGGCGAGCCCCGCCGCGCTCAGCTCCTGGCAGCCTCGTGTCGCGTCTTGTTCCCCGTCCGGGCGCGCGACGGGCACCCGTGCCTTCTTGCGTCCCGGGGGCGGGGTCGAACGCGAACGGAGCCGACGGGAGCGGGCCAGCGGGCGGCGCCTGCTGACTCTGAACGCCGCGCCTGTTCGCAGTCTGGCCGCGGGGCTTCAGCCGCCGGAACACTTTGGTCGAGCCCTGACTGCGCGCACGGCCACGGTACTGCTGCAGGCGGGCGGGCGCGGCAGAGGCTAGCGTAGACGCGGCCACCTGTTGTATGCAGGCGGCCTTGGCAGAGGCTAGCGTAGACGCGGCATGCGCGGCGCGCATGTAGACGTCGTTGGTGTGCCGGTGTAGTGCTGCTGCCGTCTGCTTGAACTTGACGCTTGAGTCCAGGAGGCTATCCGCCCTAATCCAAGACAAGACAAGAATGCTGCCGTCTGCACACCTGGTTTACCGTTGATTCTCCTTGGTGGCGTCTGATCTGAGGGCATCGAAAGCGGCATGTTTGGGCCCTTGTGCCGTTGGTTGTTTCAGCAGCAGTGCTAACCTCCTAAAGTACTTCTTAGTCGGAACTGCCTGCAATGTGGCCTTCCCTCTTGGCAGAAGCAAGGTTAATTTGCTTGTTATTGCTGTAAGCGTAGTCTATTTGAATTTGGTGATAAGGGGCGGTTCACATTCATACGCAATGGTTTCGAGTTTGTTACGACTGGATTTGATGCCACTGCGGAAACTTGCCGTAGTTCGCCTTTTGGAATATGCAAATTGGTGCTTAATGAGGTCCCGCAGTTTGTCATGAATAATGAGGCTCAGTTAACCAGATATTTGTATCGGCGTTGTACTCCTCGTCTGATGCAGCTGTTGTTTCTTGCTCTGCACCTTCCATCAATCCTCTGCTGTAGCTATAACGCCTACCAGCATGGGATTTTCTGTAAGGATTATTTAGATCGCACTGCTCACATTCTAAGAGAACCATTAGCATGGATTCGTGCGATACGGTTAGACAGATGGACTGATCGCCCTCAAGGTCTGTACGTTTGTCAGTCTCGTGTGATGTGCAATAGACGCATATTGTTCCCAGTACTTCCAGGTAAATAATGATTCAAAACTTGTGGATAGGTTCAGCAAGCATGTAACGCTTACATAAATTCCTAGCATGTATGGAACCAGATGTCTAGGGGGGGGGGGGGGGTAATTCGCTAAACGTCACGTGAAACGAAACGGCCCTGTTCGATATTAAACGTGACTGCGTCATTATTCGTCCTGCGCATTTGTTACAGGTAGGAACTTATTCCTTGGTCCGTTCCTGGCCATGACCAGGACTTAACGCTGCGAAGCGCAAGCCATTGTTCACTTGTAGGAGGGGTGGGGCGGGGCAGGGCCGTTAGTTGGGGATGTTGGGCAGCAAAGCGATAGAATCGCCGCTGGAGCCCAGGCGACAGGAAGGGGCTGGCGCCTGACTCAGGGGAGATCATGGCGCCTGACTCAGGGGAGATCATGGCTCCGCCCACCACCGGCGATGCCTCTCGTCAATTGCTCTACCGTGCCAACAGCCAACAAAGGCCATTTTTATTGACTGCGAAGTAGCACACTGGTGACGCGCACTCAGATAGCCTGATCGGTAAAAACGAGTCTTTTGTGTGAGGCTTCTCATCTCAAGCTGAAGTGCTGGATTGCTCGTTAAGGATGACGCCAGCAACGCTCGTCTCAGCCCTCCTGGTGGCACGTGTTCAGTCTCTGGCTCGCGCGGTAGTAAACCTGTGTTGTCATCTGCCGCGTGGCGCCCAGGTCGTTCACCCTCAGGTGCTACATTGTATGTGCGAAGCGATATTGACTCATGGGGAGTCATTCGAGCCTGACATTTTGGCTGCGCCGGATCTGATACTGTTTGTCTCTTGTAATGTCGTCCGTGCACGATCACTGATGCGGCCAACTGAGCTGGACGCGCTGTCCACCTCGCGGGCCACTTTATATCAACGGCAGTGCGGAGCGCAGCTATCCAGACCTCAGTGCAGTCAATCTGGGGTTGGGCCATCTGTTCTTTTTGCGCCGGTTATCGGACTAGGGAACTCTCCGACGCTCGCGGTCGCTGCGGTTTTCCGACAAACACAGACCCCAACACATACCCGGATTGGTTAATTATAGCGACGCTGGCCCAATCAAGCCCGCTGTGTGTCCCGATCAGCCCCAGCCGGGATCGTTAGGTCCGCCAGTCGACGCACCGGCCGGCGGGTGCGTGACGCTCGTCACCGGCCGCGACGGACCGGGGCGTAGCCCATGTGACGCTCGCTCCCTCTGTTCCAGAATGAGCCGGCGAGCGCCGCGTGACCCCCCGGCGGCTCCCCGGGCCAGTCGTGTCCCGCCGGCGGCAGTGTTTTTATACCGTGGTGACAAGGTCAGGGCCGCTTGACGGGACACAGCCTGCACGTGCGCGGCTCAGCGGCAGCGCCGCTGGGCGCTCGTCGAATGGGACACTGCTCAGCTTGCTAAAATGCAGGGACTTTCGGTTCAAGTGGCGTACAAAATCAATTGATTCCGTTCAACGACCCGGCGCGGGAGGCCGGCGTGTTCATTGCCATCGAAAGCGCCGGTCGGCTGGGCGCCCTTGGACATCCTACTTTATGTTATGTTATCGCTTTGTAGCTTTACGACCGACCGCCTTGCCGCCGTCTGTTTTCGTGTACCCTTGGGTTCTGTGCAGTTACCCTGTGCAAGATAATCGTAGCCCCGCCAGGTCGCTTGCCACTAAGTGGCGCGCCGCCTGGCGCCGTGCTGCCCTGGTCTTTGACCAGTCATATCCGAATTCGTAGCAACGAGCTAGTGATTATTTGAGGCCGCCGGCAGGTGATGAGCGGTGCGCTTGTTTCGCTTGCCCTGACCTTTTAGTGTAGGATTGTTGCCATTATATTCTGTCCTGCTTTGCTGTTGCATATTTTGGTACAGCTGGTACCGCTCCTTGCCATTTTGTCATGTTGTGCCCTAATTCTGCGGATTGCAACAATAAACGTGCTCAGAAATATTGTTTTTTGAGGGGGGGAGGGGGATCTGCGAGTGTCTGAATGCTGACCTTTACTGGAGTACAGTCGCGACAAGCTGAGGAGTCCTATCGATGCGGCAGCATTAGGCAGGCAGACATTAGGCAGACTGTTAGGTCGGCGACCGGAGGATCTTAGGTCTCAGAGTGATTTGCTACTGCATCGAGTCTCCCGCTACTACCGACCTAACGGACCAGGGTGCGGCTGGAGCAATGACCAAGAACAGTTGCGAGCGTCGCAAAATAGTGGTCAGACCAGTGAGACTGTATGTCCCCATGATGTGGGTTTTGAGTCGCCAGCTGAAAAATGACTGCACAAACTTGCAAGACGCGCCGCCAGCTGGCGCTAGAAGTGCTTTGGAATGTCTTCGTCACCTTTACGGATGCTACCGTGGAAGCGGGGGTGGTGGCTGCATGTTGGAACTCCGCTGGCGGGGGAGACAGACAGACAGACAGGTTTGTGTCTGCGCCGGACGCAGGTGTCACTTGGGCCGCGTTCCTGCGCCGCGCTGATCATGTTAAGGGTGGGATCGATCTGCCGCGGCGTCTGGGGGCCAGGTGGTTCACGTGCAGTGGAGCAACGGCCCAACACCGACTACTGCATCTTCCCGGTCATGACTCACTGTTAACTTATGTCGAGTGACTGGGCACTTGCGCTTCCCGACCGGCCTATCTCAGGTGCCACTTCAGTGGAGGGCATGCTGCCCGGGCCCGCTGCGATGGAGGCTTGCGCATTGACACGCGCGCCATGCAACGCGTTCAGCTGACACTCGTTCTCGGCCGCCGGCCAGGAACCTCTGGCCAGCCATCGCGGTCTGGTTGCAAGGAAAACGGCAACACCGCTGGGATGTTATGTTGAACAGCTAGCTGAAGGCGTTGAAGCCACAGTTATGCCTATGACCGTTGAGCTCACGCGAGGCGTGACACGCAGAAGTGACCTTGTGCAGGACACGGGAGGGTCACACGCATGCGACGCATGTCGTGCGGCGGACGGCCCCACGGGTCTCGGTGTGGTGCGCCGCTCGGCGTTTGCCGTATTACTCGCTCGTGTCCATCACTCACCGAAATTGTCTCATTTCGGAGAAGATGCTCCATTTTATCCCAGTCCATCACTGTTGGCAACTGCTCCTGCTTGCTCGCGGCAGGTAATTTTTTCTCGAAGACAGAACTTTCTTTCATTTCTGCAGCTCGTCAGGCATTTAACACTGTTATGGGCGCAAAATGGCCATGATAGCCCGTTCGCGATCATCAAATAATTCTCCCCCTGTGATCAGACCCGCGCCCATACGCTCCTCGCGCCGGATTCCATCCTGCTGGCCGACATTGCAGCCAAGCCAAGCCTCACCCTGCGCAGGTGTGCCATCTTCCCCTCATTTCCACGTCACGCAAGGCCCGACATGAACTGCTTAACATCAGCCAAAAGCTACGACTGTCTGCGCTGGCCCGTGCGGGACCAGACTTGTCTGACCATGCCGTCGCGCAGGTCACGTGGGTTACGATGGGTTCTGATCGTGGGCAAACACGTCCCGGTCTCGCGACGCTCGGATGCACGCCAAACGCACGAACCCCGCGCCCAAGAGCCGTTAGCAACCAGGTTTGTGGCAAGTTGGCCGAGATTTGACACACGACGCCCACTTGTGTCGCTTTACCTCGCTCCAGAGCATGCCGCAGTTAATCCAGCGAGTGGACTTCCAGCATCGAAACGCGTTTGCACTGCATAACTTTAATTCTGCCCGCCGAATGAGATGCGAGCTGCCGGCCATAGCGGGCAATGTTCTCCCAGAATCGCAGCGTCATGATAATCAGCCGATCGCAAGGCATCCACTGAGATGGCTTCAAGCTCTCACTTCAATTCTTCGATTTGAACACTCAGGTCATCGGTGACGGCAGAGCTTCTTTAAAGTTGGTTGGGCAAAGTCGCTTTTTAGTTGTTTCTTTCCATGCAACATGGTATGATTGGTGTAAAATTTTGCCTTTGTTGAGGAATGCCCCTTGCCATCCCTAAAATGTCACCCCTGTTGGAGTCTGACAGTAACATCAGTTGATGGTAGTAGAATAAAGCATAGACGGCAGATAGCTTCCATTAAAAAAGCAGCTGAGTTATGGCAAAGCTGCCCACAATAGCACATTATCCATCCTAAAGGATTCAAGGGTTCTTGAACAACAGAACAATAAATCCCGATTTAAACAGCTCCTTCAAAAAAAGCTGAAATGTATCACGAATCACAGTCTGTTCGTCAAAGCATGACGGGGACCCGCGGCTCAAGACTACTCTTCGCAATAGATCCCGCATCCCAGAGGATCTAGGATGTCGCTCAGATCCAAATGGCGTTACCTGCTCCTGGGATCCCCACGCACGCCTGCTTGGGCCGAAAAGCCTTGGCATCTAGCAGCTATGCGAATATCCAGTCCCTAAATTTCTGACCCGTGACTGTTAGACCCTCTCCAGTCTGTTCAAGCTTTACCCATCAGTTAATAAAACCCAGAGTGATTTCGTCTGCATAGTAGATGATACGGAATGACCCTCAAAGGTTTTGAAGTACAAGCTTCGAACCATTCCCCAACCAGGAGCGTCCCGGTGTTATTTCTGGGCGTGTGAATCCTGTTATCTATTTGAGGGACACTTGGCCGACGCTGTGGCCCCCTGACCTTGTTTTGGAACCTAAGTTTTTTCGAGTTCACAGAGCTTCTGTGTTACCCTGGGGATTCTTCGCCGTCTTTGTGCTTTAATATCTTGAATTTTATGATAGATTTCGAATTCCACAAGGACAGTTCCAATGCCGTGGTCTTTTTTATCTTCCTAGATGACCTTACTGGCTTGGGCTCCTTGACCACTATGGGTTGCTTAAGCATTAGGGGCCACACGATCCTTCCGGGCCCGGGATGCTTAGGCGCCCGTTCGCTGCCACCGTCACTGGCTTTCTCAAACCCTGGTCAACCATTCCGTCTAGGACCATGTCGGGCACCTTGGCTTAGGCGAGCCCTTCAACATCTGGGGCATCCCTAACTGCCGCATTCAGTCCCATGGGCTTCATGCCGCTCAGCAGCTAGATATCCTTGCCTGTATCGGTTATTTCGCGTCTATGGGTCCTTGATTATGTTGAGATCTATAACCATTAATTCCCTTTACCGCCTTGATGGCCTTTGCCAATGTCGGTGATCTTGACCAGTTCGGAAAGAACGTCCCTCGGCTCGGAGAGTACAGCGCTCCTCTCGGTTCGGAGAGTACAGCGCTTCCCTCGGTTCGAAGAGTACAGCGCTTCCCTCGGATCGGGGAGTACGGCGCTCCTCTCGGTTCGGAGAGTACAGCGCTTTCCTCTGTTCGGAGATTGCAGTGTTGGAACGTCACACTGTCCAGTCTTGGGCTCTGAAATCTCGGGCCACTTACCACGCCGCTAGCCTTTGCCGTCTGACGGCCATTCGAGTTCACGTTCCCCTGAATTTTTGTAACCCCCAGCGCCGGAGCACCCACGGTCGCTTTAGGGCTCTTAGCTGTCTTGCCCCGGCGGCCCCCTGTCACAATCAAGCTACAAATCTACAGGTACTGTGTTTCGCCAGGGTGGGTCCAGACCTTTGGCCGTTTGGGCCCAACCGCCTTGAGGTTCTCAAGCCGCCCCATGACCTTTGAGCTGCAACAGGTGGATCGAGGGTCCTCGACCGTACTGGTTTCGGCAGTCCGGGACCCAGGGCTTCTCCCGGCACCCCGGGCTGGCTTTCACTACCCGGAAGTGCGGCCAGGGGGACCTGTGGCCGTGCTCGGCCCTTAGGATAGAGGAACAGCCTTGAGAATTTCTGCCCCTCGATTTTCTCAACCTCTGCTGAGACCGGCCCTTCACATTACCATTGCTAACCATTGGCTCGAATGGCCCTTTGATCCCCGAGGCCGTTCCATACGGTCACCTCGTGCCTTACAAAACGCGGTTTGCGTCAAATTCCAACATGTCCCTTCCCGGCCCACAAGTATGGAGCAAAACATGGTTTTGGTCCCAATCCGAGCATCTGCGAGCAGGGAACTTGTCCACTGTCATCCCAAATCCCCGGATACTGCGATGATCCACAACGTACTGTCCGCAAAGGCGGTGTTCTACTGCCCTGCCGCGCGCACGGCGCCATCTGGACAACTCGCCCCATGTAGATGGCGCGCACGCTCCACCTGTCCTCAGCCAAATCGACGGGCGCCGAGGGCAGCTTTGAATGGATTGGGCGCGCCAAAATCGGCTTAGCATGCAGAGCTACGGCAAAATTTCCGACCAGTATGCCCTTTACCATGAATTATCTTCTTGGTTTGTAATAGCTTTGCGGTAAGGTCCGCACACGGGCCCCCAGGTTTTGTGTCACAGCATGACCCAGCGCGATAGCTGCAACATTGCAGGCAAGCAGGGTGTTTCACGGATTTAAATATGCGTTCCGGAGCTTGCTAATTATCTTTGCAAGAAGTTAAACGCTTTTTGATCACCCCCCTTCCTTCACAACCGTTTGGTGGCGCCATTTCGACCAATCATGTCTCGGAAGACACGACGCCTGATGACCCTCGCCGACAGCATTCGACGCAATCGCCGGCTTTCATCAGCGAGCCGCGCTGTCCACGCCCATGCAACGTACATGACGCGCTAATGAATCCCAGATGCCTTCCGTTCAGGCGATCACTACCGCCGTTGCGTCACTGCGCCCTAGCCGCAGAATATTAACATGCGGAGGGAGGGGTGTGTCCCTCCCTTCAGTATAAGGTGGTGTGTCCGCTGCCACGTTGGTCGTCCGTGTACTCACGGACACCGGCGGCGAAATAAGTGCGACCGATGGGACGCCGGGCACGCCGCCTCCGGTGAGGCGATTGCGTCTTCCGCGCAGAAGCATGCCCGTTACAACGCATAACCGAGGCGCCAAAGGTCCACAAGCCATCACGGTTATTCCTCGGCACCTACCGGGCCACCGAATGCTCACTTGCTCACTTTACTGGGTCAACTGGGCGTACAAACCAGCGCTGGATTACAGACCACGCCGCCGCCACAACCCGGGGCTATCCTACACCCACAACTCGGAGAAATGTCTGACCGCGGGCTGCTCTGCTAATCGTTCTGAAGCCCCCAAACCCCATCCAAAGGAGCTGATACAATAACAGTGCGCCAATGGTTGATCGCAGTTTCCCCAGGGGTGGCCACCGCAATGGTGGTTTTCAAAACAGGAGATGGCTACCCCCTCCTCCTCCCCCCCCCTCCATTTCGCCATCGCGGGATGCGCCGCAGAACCGGGTAAATTCTATGTTCAGCGTTGAAATCTGTGCTCGACGCACTCCGGTATTCAGCTCGCTCCAACATCACACAAACCATGTACGTCAGCGCCCGTTCATTTGTTTATTAAAACAATGATGACATGAAGAGCTGCGGGCACTAGTCGAAGAGACCTGAAACAAGGGGAAAATAATTAGCCCAAAAAAGGCATAAAATCGCATGACCACTGCATAGAACCAGTCCCAATTGCTTAATAGTAGAACGCCGCACACGACAAGCTACAAACACACACACGGGGATGGTAAAAATTGAACTAGTGGAGCAGTGGTAGAATCTTGCAATTAATGTGTAATTCCTCGTGTCCGGAGACCTCGGTTTACGATGTACAGGAAAATCAACGTGGTAAAATGTGTACCAAATTCCCTGGTGTGGTGCATGGTGTTGTTGCCTCGGTACAATGCATATATCTAGCAAGCATCATGACCAGAAAATAACCTTAAGCCTTCACTTTCTGCAGCATTCAACACACATTAGTGCTCCTGACACAAGCACACAATGCATGCCTCTTTTCCACTTACCGAAGCCCATGTCATCGTCTGACTCCTCAGGCTCCTCGTTCTTCTCCTCCTTCTTTTCAACCGGGGCCTCCGCCGCGGCGGCCGGGGCGGCAGCGGCTGGCGCAGCACCCACTGATGAGCCCACGCTGCTGAGCAGTGACTTGATGTCGGTCGACTCGAGCGCCTTGGCGAACAGACCCGGCCAGTACGGCTCCACGGTCACGTTGGCAGCCTTCAGCAGCGTCTGCAGCTTCTCCGACTGAAATGTGCACCCACAATCACACAGCTGTATAAGACACCATACATGATGGGTCAGTACACAGTGGGTGTGGTCAAATGCATGTCACTGATATCTTGCATGTCACAATCAAAAATTAATTACAAAGGTTTCCTGAAAAGGGCATCATAGATCACCAATCAATATAAATAAAAGTTCTCAAGATCAGTTGACTTCCAATTGGTCACATAATTATCATTGCTCACCTCTAAAACAAACAAAACAAGGTTCCAAAATAACCATTCTTTAGTAGCATGTTTCACACCTAAACTTAGCATAACATGTACTACCCTGCATAAATTAGATCCAGTAACTGTATGCTGCTGAACTATCAAGCTTGCAGATGATTACCTCACAGCAGTACCTTAGTTGAGACATTACCTATGGTGTTCTTGGCACCACATTAAAAAGCTGACTTGCAAACAAAAAAACTCTGCCATATAGTTTTGAGTACAAGGAAGCCAACATTTCAAGAGCTACATATAGTGCAGCTTGTTAATGATGTCACATAGCACAGCTAGAAGATCAGTAAGCCTAATAACAAGATCAGGATGTGATCAGATCAGTCCCAGTCTGAATGGCCATGAAAGTGGCCTATGGGCATTCAGTATTAACAGTAGTCAGGAGGCCTAGTCCAGGAAGATAAGGGAATGCATCTGTGCAGACCATGGATTTTGGTTTACCAGATAGATGGTATACACTATTAACAACATGCTCACATGTAGACCCTCAAAGCAGGTGGGTGGATTCAACTGGATTCAACCAAAACATGATAGGAAACAAAACTTGATAAAAAACAGACCATGCATACCACTCCCACTGCTGAACTCAATTAGAGCAGATGCAACAGGTTTGACAGGATTGAGTCATGATGATCAGGACTTGGGTAGGCTCCACAATATTGAGACTAACAGTCAGCCCACCACAGAGGCACACTATTTCCTGCCACCCAAAAGCTCCAACCATGCTTATCTATGAAGATGAATTTGTACAATATAAAGGGACAGGGTAAAAGTTCTAGTACCCTTGCCCGAAGCCTGTTCCCATTATGACTGCCGTACCTTGAGACTTCACGAAAGCTTCTGCCTGGGCTTGGAAAAACACTCAGATTGATTGCTAGCAATCATTGTCTCCACCCACATAACACCTAGGATCCAGAAGAGCACTGGGAGATGTAATCCACTAGTGACCAAACAAAGTCACATTCAGCTTTTCTTCACTGGGTTTTCTAGTTGGGCTCCTTTCCAACTCTGTTCCTTTAGGCCTACACCTTGCAAGCTGTGGACTTGTTGCAAGTCACTGGTATACTAGCTGTGACCTTATCAAATATGTTCTTTGTAACAGTGCAACAAGCATTTGATGCAGTCTGACCATCAAGGTCTATTGCAAACAGGTGCATGCTGACAGGTAAGTGCTGCCTATGGCATGTGCAATGTTGTTGAACATAGAATATTGCCATATTGTTGAACAATGATCATTTCCTGAGCAATGTTCATGATCTGGTTTTCTTCAAGTACTTCACCTTTTTTAGAAGAAGAAAAATCTCCACCGCGAGCGTTTTACGCGCAGTGCGGCACGGGCTCAACCAGCTCGCGTTAGCAGGATTGCCCAACTTTGAAATCATACAATCCAAACGACATCTTTAGCACCAAAAGTAATGAGCAGGCAACTAACACCATTCACTACGTCGTTTCGACCACTGCTACTCACAATGCTCGCATGATTGCCTATCATCTTCAAGAAATAACCATTGATAATATAATAATTTCGGCCACAAACAGGTCATATGATTTGTAACACGCAGACAGCCGACGATTTATAGCATGTACTAAAAGGACAACATAAGCACCAAATTACGTACATTCGAGCAATCAAGAAATTATCCCAGTTCTTCACATTCGTGTCTCGAGTTGATGTTTCCAAACAAACAGCACAGAGAAAACCCCAACAATGTCGGCGGAAATGAAGCATTTCCGGCATTCTTAAAAAAAACGGACCAAGCCACGGGAACCAACACCGAAGCCAAGCCAACGTTTTCGGTGGCGGTACATTGACGTCTATTAGCGCAGTGCATCTCGTACACGAGTCCGGATAATGTGATTCACACTTATTAGGACCAAACACATCGTGACGACATTGTCGCTTAAACTACAACACTTGGGTTCAATTAATATGACTACTCCGCTGCCGTGACATGCTGCAATCATGTGCAGAGGGACTGTCGTAGTACCCTCTTAAAGTAGTGCACCTCCTGTACAATTCCAACGAGCAAGGCTTGAAATCGCTCTGACATCTAGAGACATACTCTGCCGAGATATTATGCCAACAGCCACCCTAAGGAAACGGATCAAGCCTCGGGAAACGAAGACTGAAGCAAGGCCAGCGCTTTCGGTACGGTACATATACGTCTGTTAGCGTAGTGCACCTCACACACGAGTCCGGATAATGCAATTCACACCTTTAGAACTGAACACGTCGTGCTGACAATGTCGATGGAACTGCAAGACTTCGGTCCGATGAATAAGACTCATGCATTGCCGTGAGATGCTGCAATCATGTCGTGCAGAGGGACTGTCGTAGCACCCTCTTAAAGTAGTGCACCTCTTGCACAATTCCAACGAGCAAGGCTTGAAAATCGCTCTGACATCAAGAGACATACTCTGCCGAGATATTATGCCAACAGCCACCCTACGGAAACGGATCACGCCCCGGGAAATGAGGACTGAAGCAAGGCCAGCGTTTTCGGTACGGTACATATACGTCTATTAGCGTAGTGCACCTTATACACGAGTCCGGATCATGCGATTCACACTTATTAGGACCAAACACATCTTGCTGACGATGTCGGTGGATATGCCAGACCACGGTCCGATGAATAAGACTCATGCATTGCCGTCAGATGTTGCCATCATTGGCGGACGGACTGCAGTAGCACCCTCTTCAAGTAGTACACCTCTTGTATAATTCCAATTGGCGAGCCCTAAAAACCACTCTGACATCCAAAGACGTTCTCTGTCGAGATAATATGCCAACAGCCACGCTAAGCAAACGGACCAAGCCCCGGGAAACGAAGACTGAAGCAGGGCCAGCGTTTTCGGTACGGTACATATACGTCTGTTAGCGTAGTGCACCTCACACACGAGTCCGGATCATGCGATTCACACTTATTAGGACTAAACACATCTTGCTGACGATGGTATAAGGTACGCTGCGCTTATAAATATATATGTACCGTACCGAAAACGTTGGCCTCGCTTCGGTCTTCGGTTTCCGGGGCTTGGTCCGTTCTCTTAGAATTGCTGTTGACACGTTATTTCGGTACAGTGTGTCTTTGGATGACAAAGCCGTTCTTAGGTCTCGCCAACGAATTATGCAAGAGGCGCACTACTTTAAGAAGGTGCTACTACAGTCTGTCCGCACATGATGGTGACATCCCACGACAGTGCATGAGTCTTATTCATTGAATCAAACCATTGCAGCTCAGCCGACATTGTCGGCACAATGTGTTTATTTCCACTTAGTGTGAATCGCGTTATAAGGGCTCTTGTTTCAGGTGCCCCGCACGACTAAACGTATATGTACCGTGCCTAAACCGTTGCCTTTGCTTCGGTCCTCGGTTCCCGGGGCTTGGCTTCGTTCCTCAGGGTTCGTGTCGGGATGTTATCTCGGCGGAGTGTGTCTGCCTACCAGAGTGGTTTTTAGGTCTCGCCAATCGGAATTATACAAGAGGTGTATTACTTTAGGAGGGTGCTACTGCAGCCTGTCCGCACATGGTGGCAGCACCTCACGGCAATGCATCAGTCTTATTCATCGGACCGGAGTCTCGCAGTTCCACCGACATTGTCAGCACGATGTGTTTATTTTCCATAAGTGTGAATCGCCTGATCCGGACTCGTGCATGAAGTGCACTGCGCTAATAGACGCATATGTGCCGTACCGAAAACGCTGGCCTAGCTTCAGTCTTCGGTTCCAAGGCTTGGTCCGTATCCTTAGGATTTTTACTGGCATATTATCTCGGTAGAGTATGTCTTTGGATGTCCGAGCGGTTTTTAGGTCCCAATTGGAATTATACCAGAGGTGTACTACTTGAAGAGGGTGCTACTGCAGTCCGTCCGCCAATGATGGCAACATCTGACGGCAATGCATGAGTCTTATTCATCGGACCGTGGTCTGGCATATCCACCGACATCGTCAGCAAGATGTGGTGTGGGTCCTAGTAAGTGTGAATCGCATGATCCGGACTCGTCTGTAAGGTGCACTGCGCTAATAGACGTATATGTACCGTACCGAAACGCTGGCCTCGCTTCAGTCTTCTTTCCCGGGGCTTGATCCGTTTCCTTAGGGTGGCTGTTGGCATAATATCTCGGCAGAGTATGTCTCTGGATGTCAGAGCGATTTCAAGCCTTGCTCGTTGGAATTGTGCAAGAGGTGCACTACTTAAGAGGGTGCTACGACAGTCCCTCTGCACGACATGAATCGCAGGCATCTCACGGCAATGCATGAGTCTTATTCATCGGACCGAAGTCTTGCAGTTCCATCGACATTGTCAGCACGACGTGTTCAGTTCTAGGGTGTGAATCGCATTATCCGGACTCGTGTGTGAGGTGCACTACGCTAACAGACGTATATGTACCGTACCGAAACGATGGCCTTGCTTCAGTCTTCGTTTCCCGAGCTTGGATCCGTTTCCATAGGGTGGCTGTTGGCATATTATCTCGGCAGAGTATGTCTCTGGATGTCAGAGCGATTTCAAGCCTTGCTCGTTGGAATTGTACAAGAGGTGCACTACTTTAAGAGGGTACTACGACAGTCCCTCTGCACGACATGATGGCAGCATGTCACGGCAAACGGAGTAGTCATATTAATTGATCCAAGTGTTGTAGTTTAAGCGACAATGTCGTCACGATGTGTTTGGTCCTAATAAGGGTGAATACATTATCCGGACTCGTGTATGAGATGCACTGCACTGATAGACGTCAATGTACCGCACCGAAAACGTTGGCTTGGCTTCGGTGTTTGGTTCCGTGGCTTGGTCGGTTTTTTAAGACTGCTGGAAATGCTTCAGTTCCGCCGACATTGTTGGGTTTTTCTCTGTGCTGTCTGTTTGGAAATATCAATTCGAGAACACGAATGTGAAGAACTGGGATACTTTTCTAATTGCTCGAATGTACGTAATTTGGTGCTTATGTTGCCCTTTTAGTACATGCTATAAATCGTCGGCTTTCTGCGTATTAAAATCATATGACCTGTTTGTGGCCGAAATTATTGTATTATCAGGTGGTTATTTCTTGAAGATGATAGGCAATCATGCGAGCATTGTGAGTAGCAGTGGTCGAAACGACCGTAGTGTATAATGTTAATTGCCCTGCTCTTTATTTTTTGGTGCTAAAGATGTCGTTTGGATTGTATGATTTCAAAGTTGGGCAATCCTGCTAACGCGAGCTGGTTGAGCCCGTGCCGCACTGCGCGTAAAACGCTCGCGGTGGAGATTTTTCTTCTTCTAAAAAAGGTGAAGTACTTGAAGAATACCCTATGATCTGTGCCATTGGCCTTCAACATGCTCTAAACAGGCTTAGGAAATATATTGAGTTGTAAAACTTGGAACTTGTAAATAATGTAAAGACATGCCAAAAAGGATGAAAAAGTAATGCCACACTTAACATTAGGAGACGCGGCGACATACCACAATTCATAACTTGGCCTAGCCCGCCTGCAGCTCACACGCGTTCACAATGCTTGGTGGACCGACGCATCCTATCATCTAATATTTTCCATAAAATCAAGCTTCCCACCAACCACAGACTAGCATGACCATCACGAACGAGTAGATAACTACAGCTTATGAATGCTGGCTGAACAAACCAGACCAGTCATATTGTACCGCGCGGCGCGTTCTCACCGTGATGGCGATATCATCATCAGCCAAGATCAGAGCAGCGTACGTGCAGGCAGCCCCTCGTCCTTGTTCGACATGTTTGTTGCGTTTAGTTTCGGTGTAGGTCGTCAATAACTTGACCTTAGCCCTTCCGAGGACACTACACTTCTACAGCCGCTGTAGGAAGAGAGAACGCGCCAGCGTTGGGAAAATATACTTTCTTCGAGAACAAAATTTTCCATTATCGAGCTTAGTTTCATAAAATAAAGAATAATTTCGGCTAAGACTTAGATAAAATTTATTATTGAATGCCATTTTTCAAATTCAGGGGAAATGACATATTTTCCATCTCAAGAAACATTGCACAATATCGCGAGCAGCGCCTGCTAGTCGCGAATGGGCCTCGTGGAACACTAAACCCATGGAGGTCGTGTCCACCATACACTTCAACCAGCTTACGGATGCAGAAATCCACCAACCAGCTACTCCTGGTGCGTGGTGCGCAGTTCTTCAGCTTAGATAAGTTGCCCCACAGAAATACAACAAGATGTGATTGACGCCTCATTCGCATGCCAGGCCGTGGCATGTCATAATGCTGGTCGTAACTTTTCGTGATAACATTTGTAAACATTGCGCATTCTCCGCCAGTCGTTCATGAGTCGCTGCCTATGTCTGAGCCCGCTTAATGAATCCACAGCAAAACAGCGGGAACAGTAGGACCTCTTCTAATCCTCGTTAAAGCTGGATTTCTTTGAGGAAAGTGCCAAACCAAGCTTATGCGTACTTAATTTTAAATTTATTACGGCCTTTCCAGAGAGCCATGCATTCTATTCACCAGCAACATTACAGAGTAGCCTACCAAAAAGACTTCCCGCTTAACAAATTACCGCTTAAAAAGCCTAAATTCAGGAAGCATCATAATACTATTCTTATTCCGAATATGGTATACTTTGGCTTGCGAAGCAAATGAATTGCCCAGGAATATTCTTAATTTGTTTCAACTCCACAAAACGCAATAGTGGTGAATTACGCGCGCTTTTCACGTTCCCGCGCGCTTTCGCGATTGTACGCCGCGCGGGGAGTGGGTCGTGGTGTGCTGGTCTGCGTAGCTTGGTGAAACGTGTAGTAGGTCTAATTATCAAGATTTTCGTCAAGAACTGCTTAAACGGAGTTACACGAAAAGGACGGAAGGGACTAGCTAGCCAAGGTATGACACCATGGCATTGGCATCGGTCTCATGTGCGCGCTGTTGGCATGACCGTGTCTCCACGGCATTGGCTCATCCGTTTGGCTGTATGTAAACAAATGTCCGTTTTTACACATGCCTGATAATTGTGTTATGTGAGGTGCATGCATGTCAACATTTAGCCATTAAGATGTTTCAGTGAATGCTTGAAATAGCTGTGTTTAGTTGGATCAGGGGCTGTGTGCTAAAAGCAAATTCATCTGCTGTGCTATATGATTAAGCAGTATTAATGTGCTGAGTCCTGTGCTTGCAGGTATAACACCTGGCCAGCCTAAGTTATCCTGGTTTTTCAAACTTCATGAAAAATATTTTTGGTGTTATGGCATGTTGGTTTACACATTCTGGCAATTGTAGTGTCTGACACCACCTTGCTTATCCCTTACTGCACAAGATGTCCCACCAGTAATATCATGCATGCACTCTGCTCTTTAACTTTTTGTTTTCACAAATGATTTATGCTGATTCACAATCTACTATTCTAGTCTCATTTGTCAGCCCTGTTTGCACTTATCAACCTGGATTTAATGAAAATGGACTAGATGTGGCCACACTGGTACCCTAAGGATGGATGACAAAGTTGCTTACATTGGGAAGCCTTCACATCCATTTGGAGGTATTTTCCCCAGAATCGGAATAACATTATCATTGTGGCACATCTTTGTGCTGTATCAAAAATAATAGTTCAGCATAACATGATCAACTTAATCCATGTATGTACTCCTGTTTTCAGGTCTTTTGTCAGGTCTGGTGACTTCAAGAGGATAAAATGGGTGATCTTGGCATCATTGAAGTTGATCAATATCTGCGAGATATTCAGAGAGATTATCTTGATTTCCTAGATGATGAGGTATGAGTGATTGATGTGCAGTCATAGTCATTGAGTCAGTGGTTTATTTAACACTTCCTCTCAGGGCTTGCATGTGGGTAGCTAGAGCAGGGGGATGCTCACTGAAGCCTTGATGGCACAGACCACAGTGCCATTTCTATTTACCAAACATAGCACGTTTCACAATGGAATATGTTTGGTAGTGTTTTGCTTATCCATTTATTTGTAGGCTGTGTTTTTAGCAATGCTGATAGGGAAGGGGCTTGGTCCCATCAACCTGTTGTTTGGGACAGGGGGGGGGGGGGGGAGATGGCCTTTTGGCCTTAAGATCCATCCTTGTTTAATATGTAGGACAGTTCACTTGCAGGAGAGGGTGTTGAATGGTCATCATAGTGCTGATCACCCTTGTGTTGCTCTTCAGGAAGACCAGGGCATTTACATGCATCTTGTCCGAGACATGATTGAAACAAGAAAACAAGGCTGATTGTCAACATAAATGACCTGCGCAACAAAATGCCAAAAGGGTGACCGGGTGAGTTACTTGTGTGTCGTACAGGTCTTTCCAGGGGGTGGCTGACTGGGTGTGACCAGAGTTTCATGGCATCGCAAGATGCCTTATTCTGATGCTGCTCTGATGCTGCAGTTAGCGTGGAGGGGGAGAGGGGAATATGTGAAGGTGTGGCTGATGATGGGGTGCACATATTAGCCAGTGCAGTGAGAGGAATTACAGATGCAGGAGGCTGTCTTAAGAAGATCAGTGAGTTGTGGGATTGCAGATGCCCACACAAATTTGTTGGTGTTTGGCAACACATTTTGAAGCTTCTTTAGTGTACCTTTTGCCATGTATTGTAAGGTGGCTCATTGCATTTCTCCTACAAAGTTTGGGGTTGAAATGGCAGTCTTGGCCTATACCCTGAGTGAATATTGCAGAGCCTGATTTTTATTAGCATTAGAACTTTCATGTACAGGACTGTTATTTCCACATTTGCAATATTTTTACACATGTATTAGTTGATCAAATTGCTATGTGGCCCATGTTTAAGTTCTTAAGCTCTTAACTTAGTGTGTTGCCAACATTCAACCTGCGTAGTTTAATGCATATGTTAAGCCTTGCTGGTCATGGATGTTTGTTGCCACCACCACCCCTGCTCATCCCCCCACATAGCAGTTGAGCACTGGTTTTCCTGAGTCACCGATAGTGATGACGGTGTTTTCAAATCTGTTTCTACTGCCGAGGCTTTTGTGGGGTGTCCCCCCCCCTCGGTCTGGCCTCCTGGGCTCTGCAAAACGTCTGGGCGCGTCGCGTAGCTGCGCGAGCCAGTTCCGCCCGGTGCATTTGGCGTGACTTAGTCATGTGGTGGGGCGATCTCCGAGGCCAGGGTCGTGTCGGACGGAGGGCACTGCACCCGGCACGGGCGAGCACAGAATGGGCCCTCACAACCCAGCCACAGCTCCCCGAGGCCAAGGTCGTGTCGGACGGGGAGTGCCGCACCCGGCACGGGCGAGCACAGAATGGGCCCTCACAACCCAGCCGCAGCTCCCCGAGGCCAAGGTCGTGTCGGACGGGGAGCGCCGCACCCGGCACGGGCGAGCACAGAATGGGCCCTCACAACCCAGCCACAGCTCCCTGAGGCCAAGGTCGTGTCGGACGGGGAGCGCCGCACCCGGCACGGGCGAGCACAGAATGGGCCCCCGTCACTCGTCCACAACTCCCCGAGGCCAAGGTGGTACCGGACGGGGAGCGCCGCACGCGGCACGAGCTTGCTCAGAGTGGGCCCTCACCACCCAGCCACAGCCCCATCGGCAGACGAGAGTGGCGGCCTGCTGTGATTTGTGCTAAGTCGAAGTAAGGTCACTGATTTGGCTACGCATGATTTATTTGGCCCAGTCACCATATCATACTATCACTGCAGAGGTACGGAGGTTGTCAATACTTTGGTTTTGTTTTCAAGTATTGAAGGTTATATGACCTTTTGATGCCACCGGCACCTGAAGAAATCCAGCTGCCTGTTTGGATCTGTTGGACATTAATTACGGGCCTCGCTGCAAGGAAGGACAGGTGTGCTAGTCTCTCCAGCACTTTGGTGATTAGGGTCAGCAATGTGCTGTTTACATCGCCGCTCACAGACTCCCTGAAGGATTGTGCAGTCTTCCATTGTTTTAGCCTCTTTATGGGCCAGATGGTGGGTAGTTGCCTCCATGGCATTGTGCGTGAATAAAATTGCCCTCCCGTCTTACGGGAGTCAGAATCACTCGGGTGGTATGGTTATATTGATGGTTTGTACACCGGCAGGTTGATGAAGAACGCCTTCGAAGAACTGAGCTGCTTCCAGCGGGCGCTGTTGGAGTACGCGGGCGCGGCAGACCCGGTGTATGCCAAGCAGCATGATGAGCTGAGCATCGGCTTGGAGGGGAGCTTTGGCTCCCACCACGTCAGCCCCAGAACTCTGACCTCCAAGTACCTCGGCTCTGTCGTCTGTGTGGAGGGCATTGTCACCAAGTGTAAGTTGCACATTCTTGGTGTGTGTTGTAATGTTTGTCTAAATTCTTGATGTGTGTTCTGTTGAGTTTTAGACACCACAGGCAGGGTGAATGCAACTTAATGACATGGGCCACTGACGGGATCACTGCCTTCATACTGTCCTCATTGACATGATTGTAACACCTTACAATACATGGAGATAAGGTGTTGAACACCAGGTGGTCTGATGATATATATATATATATATATATATATATATATATATATATATATATATATATATATATATATATATATATATTGATACTCATTGCTTTTGAAATATTTCGTCAAATGTTTAGGTACCAATATGACCAGCAGCAGTGGAGCAGCAATGTGCCCCAGAGAGGTGCAAAGCACCACATGTGCAAACCATGCCTCCTTTATTACCACAGGCTGGATTGTTCCATTGATATAAAGATGCCCCCTCTGGTCCCAGATAATGTATCGCAGTTCTTTGATTTCAGCTTCTTATTTGAATGGTTTGTTTCAGGTTCATTGGTGAGACCCAAGGTGGTGAAGAGTGTTCACTTCTGTCCAGCCACGGGCAAAACCATTGAGAGGCGGTACACAGACATGACCTCCCTTGATGCGTTCCCGTCGGGGTGAGTGTGGACTCCGGACAGGATGGGCTTACTAGAGTGCTAAACTCAGACTTGTCCCCTCAATTACAGGTGAAAAAGTCGCGTTTCGTGGGGATTGTTTGCATGTAATTTTTCCATGTTTTGTTACAAATCCGGTTGTGGTGTGTAGCCAAGGCTTGGCAGATGTTTAAAAGGAGTGGTGTGCTGGAATAGTGGTCATTGGTTATCATATGCAGTCAGGACATTGCATGTGGCCAATTTCTATGGGCCATGAACTTGTATCTATCAGGCATCAATAACCCACAAAATCGCAATCTAGCTGTTCAAGTTTTTGCAAGTAGCAGGCAATCGGCGATTGCCGATAAATTGCTCCGAATCAAAACTTCTGTGTTGGATGACCTTAGGCATTGATACCTCCTATAACCCCACAAATTCAGCGATGACATGTAGAAACCCTGTAGAAACGTGTCGTCGCTGCACCGAGCGCAAAGCGAGAGGAGAGCCGTTCCGACGTGGAGCCCGAGAGTCGTTCTTGTTGGGGCAGACTGATATTTTACTGACGTTTGTCGTTCACAGGTCTGCTTACCCTACGAAAGATGACGAAGGCAACCTTCTCGAGACCGAGTTTGGTCTCTCTAAATACAAGGACCACCAGACCCTGACGATCCAGGAGATGCCGGAGAAAGCGCCCGCAGGTGTGAAAACTGGCCCCGTATTTGATTTTGAGAGATCTTAACTGTTCCTTTCTCTAAACTTCAGTTAAAAACCTTTTGCTCACTTTTGTGAAGCATTTGATGACATTAGCCTTCATTATCTTTTAAAAGAACCTGTTTGGTCATTTACGTGCTAGATGACACCAGCTATCATCTGTGTCATGTTGTGCCAGTGCAGTTGCTGCTGTCTTCTACCGCGATGTACCACGCTGCTTGATGGGTGTGAACACGGGCTGAGCCACAACTTACCCAGCGTGCAAAGTTACCCACTTCACCCCAGCTGTTGACCTGTGGTTTGCTGGTCCGCACTGGACCTGTCCCCTGCAGGTCGGCTGCGGCGGACAGGATATGTTGTGTGACCTCGTGACCCAGAAATGAAGGCTGCCGCTCTGCCCGCCAGGTCAGCTGCCGCGCTCGGTGGACGTGGTGTGTGACGGTGATCTGGTGGACCAGTCCAAGCCGGGAGACCGGGTCCAGATCGTGGGTACCTACCGCTGCCTGCCAGGCAAGAAGAATGGCTTCACCTCCGGCACGTTCCGGACGGTGCTCATCGCCAACAACATCTCCCACCTCAGCAAGGAGACCTCACCCGTCATCACTGTTGATGATGTCAAGCTCTGCAAGAAGTTCTGCAAGGCGAAGAGGGTGCGTGCACGGATATGCGCTCGTCACTCCTCGTCTGCGGCCGTGCCTGAATGTGTGTGTCAATGTGTTGCCATCCTGTATTTGCGCGCCTGGGTTTATCCGCCAAAAGCGAACGCAGCACGAGTAGCTAATGTATATGGTTTGCGCCAGTGGCTTGCAATCTGTCCGGGCAGTGACAGCGTCTGCCGCTTCCAGGAGAACGTGTTCGACCTGCTGTCGCACTCGCTGGCTCCGTCCATCCACGGCCACGAGTACATCAAGAAGGCCCTGCTGTGCCTGCTGCTGGGCGGCGAGGAGAAGATCCTGCCGAACGGAACCCGTCTCCGAGGGTGAGCCGGCTGGACGTGTATGATAGGCCTGTCAGCTCCGCGCCTCCTTACCATCAGTTGTATGCTGGGTGCTCCTGCACATATGTGTTTGTGTACTGTACAGTGTGGAAGACAGGACTGATTTTAAGTTGCTTTGTGGTCCCTCCGTGTCTCATTTGGCAAGGCCATGGTGTGATCTTTGTTGGAACGATTCCCGACATGTCCATCATCAGATTTCGCCACAAAACAACTCGTTAGCACCCACCGTCACATCGTGTCCACAGCAAACCGAAGCGCTAACAAGCTGCCTGAGCCCTGTTCCGATCCTCCCGCCCGTGTCCGGGCTTTGCACCAGTACCGCGCCCCCGCCGTGTCGATGACGCCTCCCCCTCCTTCTCCCCGCAGTGACATCAACGTGCTGCTGATCGGCGACCCGTCGGTGGCCAAGTCGCAGCTGCTGCGGTATGTGCTGCACACGCGCCGCGCGCCATCACCACCACCGGCCGCGGCTCGTCGGGCGTCGGTCTGACGGCCGCCATCACCACCGACCAGGAGACCAACGAGCGCAGGTCAGCACAGAACGGAGACGGGTGGAGGGCGTGTCGGAGGGGGCGAGCGCAGGTCAGCACAGAACGGAGACGGGTGGAGGGGGGCGAGCGCAGGTCGGCACAGAACGAAAACGGGTGGAGGGTGGTCGGGAGGGGGCGAGCGCAGTTTGGCACAGCACGGAAACGAGGGCGGTCGGGAGGGGGCGAGCGCAGGTCGGCACAGAACGAGGACTGGTGGCGGGCGGTCGGGGCCAAACGGGAGGGGATGAGCGCGGGTCAGGATAGCACGAGGACGTATGGGAAACAGTGGGGGAGGGGGTGATGAGCCGCAGGTGGGAGCTGATGAGCTGAAGTGTAGCGGGTTGCTTCGAAGGGATGCGTCATCGACGCGGCGCACTTATCTATCGTGACCTATTTGCGGTCAGTATCCAGCTCACGTGTGTGATCGCGCACTTCGTTTGTTGGAATTCGTCGCCGAAGCGGCGGCAGGCGTGGTGCTGACGCGTATGACCTCCATCGGACGTCGCAGGCTGGAGGCCGGCGCCATGGTGCTGGCGGACCGCGGCGTGGTCTGCATCGACGAGTTCGACAAGATGACCGACATGGACCGCACGGCGATTCACGAGGTGATGGAGCAGGGTCGCGTCACCATCGCCAAAGCCGGCATCCACGCCAAGCTCAACGCCCGTTGCTCCGTGCTGGCCGCCGCCAACCCCGTCTACGGCCGCGTGAGTCAACACAGATTCGTCTGTCGCCTGCTAGATGGTGCTGCGGGTCAAATGACGCGACGCACGGCGCTCTGCCGGGCTGTTCTTGAAACGACGATGGTGTGAGTTGCAGAACTGTTCGTACCGCTATCACTGTGCTGATTGGCTGTTTATCTTGGTACATCCTGGTCTACCTAATATTTGTCTTGCACTAGTCTGGATCACAGTGTTGAGGCCTGCAGGCTGTAATGGTCCTTGGCCAGCCTGTGCCCTTCCATTTTGTGTTGTCCTCCGCTGGCTGCCGAGCGGGACCTGACCGCGACGTCGCCGCTGCCGCAGTACGACCAGTACAAGACGCCGATGGAGAACATCGGCCTGCAGGACTCGCTCCTCTCCCGGTTCGACCTGCTGTTCATCGTGCTCGACACTATCGACGCCGAGAGCGACCGGCGCATCTCGGACCACGTGGTCCGCATGCACCGCTACAGGTGCGGGTCACGTGGCGGGTCGGCGCAGCACGTGCAGCAGGGCGGGGTGGGGGGCTGAGTTCTCCGCGTCTGGTGGCGTCCCGAGGGCCAGCGCGCAGTGACGTGCGAATTGGTGCGTGCAGTGCCTTAAAGTGCATCACGCGTAGAACCTGTTCGGACACGCAAACACGACGGCGTTTGCGTGTCCTGAGTGGCTCAGAACACAGGACAAGCTTGTCTCTCGCTGGCCACGTGACTGCGGCCCTTCGGCGCGGCGTCCGTCCCCACGTCGGTCTCCGTTGACCCGGCTGCCGACCCCAGGTCTCCGAACGAGCAGGACGGCGACGTGCTGCCGTTGGGCTCGGGGATCGACCTGCTCGCCACCTCCAACCTCAACGACGACGACGAGCCGGAGAAGACCGCCATCTACGAGAAGCACGACCCGCTCCTGCACGGCAAGCGCGACGCCGGGTGCGTCGATTGTCTGACAACCGCGCCACCCTCGGTGGGCGGGGGGGGGGGGGGGGGGAAGGGGGCAGCGGAAGGTTGCATGCCACGTTGTCAAAATGGGTGTTACGACGGCCTTGTCCCTGCTTGGGAAATGAGCCCTGAGCCCTAGACCAAAACAGAGCAGACTGTTCGGTACCGGTGGCGTCTGACAGGCACAAAGAACATCATCGACGCAGTGGGCCAATTGGCGCAAAAGGCCCTGTGACTGACATTTGAGGACCAGACCCTTCGGACCAGACCCCATAATGGGACCTTCGGTCAGCCCTTCAGACCCTCAGGGCCCTCAGATCGGGCCGTTTATCGTGGGTCTCTAGGGGCCTGTCAAGCCCCTCGAAACCTAAGAAGGCACGTGTCCCCTGCTAAAGCATTTGAAGGAGAAATCCGATTGAGTCACATTAGTGGCCATCTACTTTGTTAAATGATTTTGGCCGGATATTTTGCACATGTGCGTTTTGGTTTTTCGCTTTTTTTTCGGCTCGCGTAGGGTGCCCCAGATGAGAAAAAGGTGTTACAGACAGTAACTAACGTGTCGTGAGGCGTAGATTTTCTGTTTGATGTGTTCTTTTAATTATCCTTGCTACATTTCACATGATGCTACCAGATACACTAACAGCCATGCATTGTATGTCTAATTGACACGAAAAAGTAACTTAGGGTGTGCAGAGCATTCACTTAAATAAGCTGTTGCAGGGCTGGGAAGATCATCAGCATGAACTTCATCCGCAAGTACATCCACATCGCGAAGGAGATGAAGCCGAAGCTGAGCAAGGAGGCGTGCAACGCCATCTCGGAGGAGTACTCCCGGCTGAGGTCGCAGGACAACAGCGCCAACGACATGGCCAAGGCAAGGGAGGTCACGCGGCGTGCAGTGGCGGCCAGGGCCGAGGGTGTCACTGACGCTCCGGGGTCCCCGTGTAGAGCCGGGAGCTGTAAGTCTCTTAAGCCCAGGGAGCTCGGCTCGCCTGCGGTTGGCCGCCAAATTGCATGGCAGGCCTTGGTGGTGACTTTGTTTCGTCCTTCAGAGTGCATTTACGTTTTGGTGGTAAGCGATCATGTGGCTGCCATATTCGGATGTTCGACCGAGAATGACTCGGTCTTTCCGAGGAAAAGTGGCCAGGCATTTGCCAAATTGAGCAGTGTTCTAGCTACGTAATGAGTGATGCCGTTGTAGTAGGAGGAAATGTAATGCCCGAAGGACGGCACCTATCCAAAAGACTCACCTAAAGCTGCTTGAAAAATGACAGTCTGATATGAAATCTTGCCTTGAAATGCTTTTCTATCGCATATTTCCTAAGTTGTCCATGATATGGATTGGAGGTGAATCATGCGAAGAGGATGCCGCCAGCGTGAGCACGTCTTTTGAAGTAGAGGCGTGTAGTGATAGCCCATGATCGTCTGATATGACCTTTTGCTGGACTGGACAGAATGTTGACTCGTCTTGCCGAAAACCGTTGCAGAGCGCGAGAGCCAGTTCCTGTTCAGGTCGATTGGGCCGTATTGCATTATTGCGTGACCAGTAGTAGTGACGACGGGACATATCGAAAAGCAGTCAGGCGAAATGCCAGCATAAAGCCGGCTGGAGGCATGCCATCAGCTTACTGGTTTATATCATGACGTCATTATGCTTGACAATGATCGGGTTATGGTAGAGCATAAACCGGGTCGTCATTGAAATTTTGCGGTTCCTCGTGCTTCGACGAGAACAAGCAGCGAAACGTCGCATACTTTTTTATGATTTCCAGCAAGCCTGTTGAGTGCCCCTATGTGTTGATAGGCAGACGCCATGGTTGAACAATACCGTCAGTCACTCGTCTGTCTGCAGGATATGAGCCTCTCGGTGTTTCTGGGCAAGGAGGAAATCAAACATGGGAGGTCTAGCGGCAATCTAGATCACGCGCGCAGCTCATGCGAACTTCCTGTGTCATCGCATGCATGCAAGTGGTTGGCGTTGTTGATGCGTCCACAGGGTCGACACAGTCCCGATGGAGCCACCCATAACATAACATAACGGCGCACCGTTGTTTTGACTGTACCTTCTGCTCGGTGCAGCGAGCAGACGGGCAGTTATAAAATCCTGGCTCGACAGCTCGGCTACGTATCTTCAAATAGCCGAGAGACGAGCCCGTCTGTTCTTGCCTGTCCCTTCCAGCCCGCGTGATCACTGACAGCCCCGTGCTACCCCCATCTAGCACCACTTGCTCCTGGCGCAGCCTCGCTCGCGTCGCGCCGTTCGGCCGCGCTGTCCGGCACGGCTCGGCCCGTACGCGATCGTGACCCCTGACCTTCCGGCGCGCAGACGCAGCCAATCACGGCCCGAGCACTCGAGACGCTAATCCGGCTGGCCACGGCGCACGCCAAGGTGCGCCTCAGCCGCTCCGTCGACATGGACGACGCGCTCGTCGCCATCGAGCTGCTGCAGTTCGCCATCTTCAAGAAGGTACGCCGCCGCCGCCGCCTCCAGCTGGCTGCGCGGCTCCCGCAGGGCGCGGCGGTGCTCTGCGGAGGCCTACCGACGGCGCCCACGTGGTTGCGCGCTTCGGAATGGCACTCCATGTCAGCACTAAATCACTGCATGGCTGTGCGTTTTCTAACCAACGATGCGCCATTTCTCGCCGCAAGTATGGCGTCACCGTCGCGGTGACGAGGGCCGGCTGTGCTCGGGTCTGGCTGGAACTGGACGGGTGTGATGCGCCGCGCGCCCTCGCCGTGTGTTGGCGCGCTCACCCGCGTCCCCTGCGACGACCCGAGACTCCATGCCCCAGGGCTTTCTGTGGCTGAGTGGGCCGGCCCCGGTTTCAGGTGGACAAGAAGCCTCAGCGGAAGCGCCGCGACGACGGCGACACCGACGACGAGGGCGACGGTGCTGCCACCAGGCGGCGGCGATCCTCCGGAGACAGGCCGGTGAGCGGCGACGTGGATGGAGACGGTGTGAGCGGTTCAAAGAGGAGGAGGTCAGGTGCCTGTGAGCAGGGCGGCGTTAGGGGCCCAGAAGGAGAAGGGGCAGGTGCCTGTGAGGGAGGCGGCGTTAGGGGCCCAGAAGGAGGAGGGTCAGGTGCGTGTGAGCGAGGCGGCGTGGGGGGCCCAGGAGGAGGTTCAGGTGCCTGTGAGCGAGGCGGCGTGAGGGGCCCAGAAGGAGGAGGGTCAGGTGCCTGTGAGCGAGGCGGCGTGAGGAGCCCAGAAGGAGGAGGGTCAGGTGCCTGTGAGCAAGGCGGCGTGAGGGGTCCAGAAGGAGGAGGGTCAGGTGCCTGTGAGCGAGGCGGCGTGAGGGGCCCCAGAAGGAGGAGGTCAGGTGCCTGTGAGGGAGGCGGGCATGAGTGTAGGGGCCACCAGAAGGATGTGGTGGCACAAAGTGAGGCAGTTGTGGGGAGATATTCGTCAGCAGAGGTCCACACCCTGCCTTACCGCATCAAGTATACAACAAGGTAGGGTGTGGACGACAGTCCTGGAATATCTATGTTTGTATGTTTTGCTTTCGATTCAAGCATGGTTGAAACGTGGAATTGAAGTCTCGTGCAGGTAATATACGAGGTGAGCGCGCACAGGAAGCGTACACAAAAGTGGAGATAGTAAAATGAAGTCCCCGCCGTAGTTCGGGACGATCAAAAGGGGTTGCTGCGGAGGCTGAGTGGGGCTTTCCTGGATGCCTACTTGCGGATGCAGACTTGACATCAGCTGAACTTTGCTGGATCATTATTGGTTCTGTGGCTGTCGTTACATAGCCTGCTTGGAATCGACTCGGCGGCAGTGCCTCCCATAAATACTTCCTTTATTTCAGATTTCGCTTGTTAGTCGGCGTCCCTCGCGTCATATCTGCCCCACCCGCAAGGCAGTAGTTAAGCTGTTGTTTCGAAAAATGAGTTGCGAGGGGGCTAAACAATGGAAAACGGCGAAACCTGCCACGAAAAAAAAACGCTGACAAACGATCTTTCCCCATATTTGACCCACTTATCAGGGTTTGCGAGAAAGAGCGTCTCCCTCCAACGAAGTAGAAGCCTGCACCCGTGCCTGCGGGGCCTCATTGTCCTGTCTCCCCGCGTGGCCTCGGTGTTGATCTGTCCCCACCCGACCCCAGTGTCACCGACGACGGGCGGTGACGGTCCCGCGCGCGGCCACCCGCGTCGAAGCGTGGCGGCCCGTATCGGGGCCGTGGGTGCCCGCGTCCGCGCCCGTCCGGTCCCGGGCGGTGTCCGACCGCGCGGCCCGGAGGTGACTGTGGAACCCGCTGCCCGCAGGCGAAGCGACCTCGCCGCCAGCCGGGCGAGGAGGGCTACGACCCGTACGACTACGACTCGGCCGACGAGGCGGAGGCGGACGAGTCCGTGGCCACCCTGCGCTCGCCGCGGCCGACGGCCAGCGACTCGGCGCCCAGCGTCGACACGGCAGACCCGGCCGGCAAGCACATTACCGAGCCCAGGTGAGAGCGGGCCCGGCTCAGACCGGGTGAGAACGGGACCGGCACAGACCCGGTGAGAACGGAGCGGCATAGCCCAGGCGAGAACGGACCCGGTACAGACCTGGTGAGAGCGGACCCGGTACGGACTGGGTGAGGGCAGGCATTGCAGACCGGATGAGGGCAGGCACAGCTGGCACGACACAGGCAGGGCAGCAGGCTCGACTGGGAGGCCTAGATGGGTCTGACGCATCACTATCTCGGGTGAGTGTGTGCATTATCATCATGCCACTGCAGCCTGATGACAGATCATTCGTGCGTAGCTCAGGTAAAACCGGAGATGAAGGCAGGCTAGGCTGTGAGATCTGATGAGAGCAGACGCTTCACCGGGCCCAGATGGGGATGTGCGCAACGTCAGGACGACGCTGTGTCCGCCTCAAAGCGGACACTGCACTGAAACCTGCGGAGGAAGACATGATGCTGGGCGGGGTGAGGCAGACACGATACTGAGGTTGGATAGGGCAGACGCAGTACTGAGGCTGTTCCTGGAACAACCGATACCGAAGCCTGGTGGGGCAGGCCTGCTACTTAGGCCGGGTGCGGCGGACGTTTTACTGAGGTCGGGTGGGGTGGACATGTTACTTAGGCCGGATGGGGCAGACATGTTACTTAGGCCGGGTGAGGCGGACATGTTACTTGGGCCGAGTGGGGGCAGACATGTTACTTAGCCCGAGTGGAGGCAGGAGGCAGACACGTTACTGGGCCCGAGTGGGGGCAGACATGTTACTGACGCCGAGTGGAACAGGCACAAAGTTGGAGCCGGGCAAGGTACGTATGGTGCTAAGACCTGGGGAGGGCTGGGCCGCTGGTGAGTCCGGGTAACGCCAAACATAGCATTGGGGCCGCAATGAAAAGGGGTATTTACGGAACGCGCTGACGACATATACGCCATTAGTGAGCGAGTGTGTGGGTTAGCGTATCCAGGGCGGTCCCTGCAGTTTTCACGGAAGCAGCCTGTATTGATCGTTCTCGGCTCCGGCCTGCAGGCTAAATCTGGTCTCCTCTAGCGGCAACTGTCATTCAAGTCATGCTATGCAATCGCCTGAATGTATATGTAGCAGATGCTACGCGGAAGAGCTCATGCGACGAAGCTCTCTCTGTACGCTGCTCCAAGTGTTTTCTGCACGTGTTTATGTGTTCGCGCAACTGTCCGTGTGGATAAGACCTCGTGAACGTTGCTGTTCACTCGTCGGCGACAGTGAGCTGCAACCGTGCCCACCGAGGTGCCTACGACGGGTTAGATGTAAGACGTCTTCCCCCGAAAAGGAAAAATGGCCCTATTGAACTTCAGTCTGAACTCCGGGTTGAGTTCCTCACAGCTGGGTGAAGGTCAGCAGTCTGCCAAGGAATTATTGCGACTAGGAATAGCGAGCAAATAATGTAATAAATAGCAGGCGAGCCGGTTATTGGGCTGGCTGCCATTGGACATCAGATCAAGCCGCCTCGGGATAGTGTGCACCATTTGCTGGACGTAAGAGCTTTTTCCAGAGAAGTAAAAACTGGACGGTAAATGGCGAACAAGTAAGACAATAGATGGCATGCCAGCCGGCTTGAACTGGACGTTATTGGACTGCGGTCCAAACGCCCGTCGGGGCCGTGGCGACCCCCTATTCGTCCCTTGTCTGTCTTAAAAACAAAGTCCAAGAAATTATGGACCGTAAGATGCAGGAAGTAAAGAGTTCCGCTCTCTTTAAACCTGTGCTGTCCTGCACTTCCCTTACCTGAAGGGTCCCGGGAAAGAAGTATAGAGTTAGGAAACACTGAACCAGGGGGCAGCCTGATAAGCCGCGGGTTTTCCCCCGGATTTGAAGCGGACTGTCCGCTACCGGGGCCGAGAGCGGGCACGCTTCGAACGACCGCGGCGGCGGGGGCCGCGAAGCTCGGGCGTTGTCAGCGGGGGCAGTCACCGGACACCGGTCCGGCGGCGGCAGTGCGCCAGCAACCTTGAATTGGCAAGCGGCCCCGGAGAATGGGGACCGGATGTTGCTCGGAACACACGCGGCCGGCCAGCCGCTGCCAACCTGGACTCCTGCGGTGCTCTGGCGGCTCGCTGCCGCCGACGTTGACGCGTGGTCGTTGGGAGTCCGGTGG